ATCAATCCATTCGTCCCTAAATTAATAAGAGATTTTCAACTCTGTTCAGAAAAGACAAAAATCCGATCTTTCTTAAACGGTGGTGTCCATTTTTCTGAAATAATGCAAATTTCCATATTAATAAACAAAAAAAATAAACGAATTTCGCAAGCTGGCTTAGTTATTTCTTTATTTTTCATTTATTTCATGAGTTTAACAAATGAGGGATTGAGCTAACAACAGATTGGTGCGGGAAATTAAGGTTCACTTTATTGACATTTGGTTTCCTTACACATGCGCATCAGTGCTTGCCGGTAGCTCATCTTTTTTTACTTCTTATCCTCTCTTTTAAAGCACTGATTGTCCGAGTGCTATGAATGACGCTGGGAAAACCTTTTACTTCTTATCCCTCACTCTCTCTCATGGCACCGGCCACGCCTTATTTTCAAGGTTCTTGCACTTATATATAAATAATAATAAAAGTGACCAAAATTGGATTACCTGTCACTCCATTTTTGAAGCATCCGGAGAAGGAGGAGGGGCTGAGTGTTCTCCAGGATTTGAATTTCTCGTCACGACTTGCTGGAAACTTTCTCACCTACCACTACCAACTTTCACAATCCAAACGGTCAAAAAGAAGGCCTACATATAGTCGAAATTTCTAAAATAAATTTTTGGAAAATTCTGAAAACAAGAAGTCCTGTCCAAAAAAAAATAATAATAAATGATTTCTGCTATTCTTGCTACAGCAGTGTTTGTTCTGCCCTGCTTCTGCTCCTCCGCTTACCTCGATAACGGCATTATTGGTAAGTTTTTGGTAAATCCTTATTTTGCATTTAAATGAATTTATGACAGCTTGAGTCTTCTGATAATAAATTGAACTCCACGTGCACACATGAATGCAATAGCTTGAAATAGAAATAAAAACATTTGAAATTAATTTTTAAAAATAATGACAAAAGGTAATATAATACTAATTTGAAAACATTAATTATTCATGTGAAACATGTAATATTGTAATAAATTACACATACTGGCCGTTGAAAACTGCACAGCGAAAATTAGTGCCAGGAATAACTATATTCTTAGTAATAAAGTCCGTTGTAAATCCTTCTTTTTCATATTTAATAAAGCCGAAAAGTGGTATTTTTCTCTAGTATCGTTAAAACTGATCAATATTAACCTTAAATAATGTTAAATCTTCGATTTTTCTCAAAACTTTAATCCTATTTTCAAAATTATTTATCCAAAAAAGTAGCTTATGTTTTAAACTGAACTGAGTAATGGAGAGCGATAGAAATCTATAAAGTGATTAGATCTTTGAGTGCACGGAAGACATTTGCGCTAACTTAATGATCAAACAGCCCAGTGTCGGAAGTTCACGCTACATCTAAATAAGTTTTAAAAACCTCGAATTTAGGTGTCCCGGAAGTAGAATGCATGGAGGACCGGATGAAGCTGTCATTCCGGACGGCTCGGCCATTTACCGGCCGGGTTTTCGTGAAGGGTATGGTAGACAAAGATCAGTGCGTGGAATCGTTCATCGGAAATACCAAAACAGAGCTGCAGTACGTAATGAACAATGGCCAGTGCAATATGAGACGATCCAGAAAAGTTTGTTTTTTTTGGGATTGAATTATGCTTTCACTTGTGCCATTAGAGTTCTGTTTTATAAACTTCTTTTATCCGAGAATGCGAAAAAATTTGGTAGCTCTGGCCAGAAGCGCTGGAACAAGGCTTTCCAGCAAAAGCTACATACCTCTTAAGCTTGAGCAGCATTATAAACGCTTTTCTAGACGTATGTGTTAGCTGATATTGAAAATATTGGAGATGAAAATATTAAATATATATTTTGGAAATAATAATAGAGGTCGAAATTAGGCGTATTGAAAATAATAAAAAATATTCTCTAAATTATTTTGGTGAAATGTCGGAAAGTACGAAGAGCAAAATGTAAAAGTATAA